AGTTCAGTCTCAGTTTCGGTTTCATCAATTATACCGGTATTAGACTGATCCGAGGAATCATCGTTCAACATTTCATCATGTGAACGTTTGGAAGAACTTGCTTCTTCCCTCGACTTTAATGGAAATATATTTTCGAAGAATGTTGCATTCCTCGATTCCATAATTGTATTCTTATGTATTTCTGAATTATCAGACCTATACACTAAGAATCGATACACGCTACCACTGTAGCCAATAAAGATTGCATCAACGGTCTTTGGACTAATCTTTATTTTCTTTGGTGGTGGTGCTAAAATTTTTGCAAGGCACCCCCACACTTTCAGGTATTTATAAGAAGGTTTCCTATTATACCACAACTCGTAAGGAGTCTTATCGAGTTTCTTTCGGGGTATTTTATTTAACAAATAATTGCTAGATAAAATAGCCTCCCCCCACATATTTTGGGGTAGCCCCGAACTAAGCAACATCGCATTCATCATATCTTTGAGAGTGCGATTTTTCCGTTCCGCCACACCGTTTGATTGGGGTGTGTATGGCGGAGTTACCTGATGCACAATTCCATGTTGTGCACACAATTCGGCGAATGGAGCTTCGTACTCCCCGCCCCTATCACTCCTAATCGCTTTAATTTTGCGATTGAGTTGATTTTCTACTTCATTCTTATATTGAATGAAAGTGTCCAACGCCTCATCTTTACTTTTAAGTAAATAAATATAGCAATACTTCGTGCTATCATCGACAAAAGTGATAACATATTTGTTACCACCTCTTGAAGGCGTTGATTTAAAATCACACAGATCCGTGTGAATTAAATCCAGTGGCTGAGTGGTTCGTTCAATTGTTTGAAACGAACTTCGTGTTGACTTTGCTTCGACACACGTCTCACATTTGTGCGACATGTCGATATCAAACTTAGGGATATATTCCATGTTAATTAATTTTCGAAGAGACGTATAATTAACATGTCCTAGTCTTCCATGCCACACATTAAAAGACTCACAAACATAGGCAACATGAGTTTTATTAATTTTCTCAACAACAGTGAGTACATTAAGCTTAAAAAGCCCATCAGAAATATAACCTTTGCCTATGAATATCCACTTTTTGCTCAAGATTAGCTTATCAGACTCGAACACCATGCGGAATCCATGCTTGTTCAGTAGTGAGCCTGACACCAAGTTTTTCCGTATGTCTGGCACATACAACACATCATTCAGGGTGAGCTCCTTGCCGGATGTCATCTTGAGCTTCACATTGCCCACGCCTTGAACCTCAGATTGGGCAGAGTTGCCCATCCACACCTTGTTGCCAGAAGTCTCCTTAAAGTCAAAGAGCATGCCCCGATTGAAGCAGATATGACGAGTGGCCCCGGTGTCAACCCACCACTCTTTCGGGTTAGACCCGACCAGGTTGACCTCTGTCACGACCGCACAAAGATCCATAGCATCTAGCTCCGAGCAGAGAGCTTCTTCCTTCTTCTGCTTCTTCTTCTGAGGCTTCTTTCGGCACTCTGAAGAACGGTGGCCCGTAATACCACAGTTGTAGCATTTCCCAGCGAACTTAGTCTTCGCGACGCCTCCTTTAGGACCAATTTTCTTCTTGTCCTTATTTGGCTTGGGCCCTTTGGAAGAACCCTCTTTGGGTGGATGCTCCACCACATTGGCCTTAGCAACAGCTACTTTCTTCTCGCGAGTGAGACCCTCCTCACGGATCCGGAGACGAACAAGTAACTGTTCTAAAGTCATCTCTTTTCGTTTGAGCTTAAGATAGCTCCGGAACTCATCCCAAGTCGGCGGGAGCACATGAATAATTGCCGCCACTTGGAATGCCTCACTGACTCTCATTCCCTCATCAGTGCACTCATTAAAAATGAGAATCAATTCTTCAGCTTGACTGACCACGGGTTTGGAATCCACCATCTTAAAATCCAAGACCTTACCGACAACGAATTTCTTCGCACCGGCGTCCTCAGCCTGGTATTTGTTGGACAGTGTAGCCCATAACTCCTTTGCGGATGCAGCCCTGCTATAAACAGCATATAAGGCATCGCTCAAGCAATTCAGGATAAGGTTAAGGCACGTATAGTTATTCGCTATCCATGCCTCTTTAGCCTGAATTGTTGGCTCGTCCGCATTCTCCCCCACAACAGGGGGATCCTCCCTCAAGTACCTCGCAAGGTTGAGGGTGGTCAGCCAAAATAACATCCTTTGCTGCCATATTTTGAAGCCAACACCTGTGAACTTTGCCGGTTCTTTGACAGAGTTTGCAGGCAGCATGACAGTAGGATGTCCGACCGGCGCGGATGTGAAGACACCCGTGTTCGGTCCAAGTGAGGATATGACCGGTATGGCCGAAGCCATATTCGGTCCGAGTGGGGTGACCATTGCGGCCGTAGCCGCGGTTGGTCCAATAACTGAGGTGAACGGAGTGGACCCCATGGCCGCACTCGATCCAAAGGGAACGTTGATCGGAGTGGTCTACCCAACAGAGCCACCCAATCCAGCCGAAACGTTCACAACCAGAGTCTCGGAACTACTCCCGTTTCCGGTGTGAGCGTCAAAACCGAATCCGTCCATACCCGCCATCGTGCACGGATATGACTATTACCTTAAGCTTTTTAGAAATGATCGTACAGTTTACAATAGACGGGAAGAGGAACGGTCCCGGAAACTAAAAGAAATAAAATAATCCGAATTTATAATTTTATTCGGATTAAATACAGTAAATAAAATAAAATTAGCTTCCAATCTTCAAAGGCCTTCTTTGACAATGAGGACTTTGTGCACTGAAAAGAAGCAGCGAACTGGGACGTAGAA